TAGTCCTAGTTTCGACATGATTTATTACTGGTTGAGGACTATCAATATTTTACAGTGACCAAAGAACAGTGAAATATAATAGTGAATAACTTTTTAACTTTCTTTCAATCAAATATATTACACTTCCTCTAGTTTGTGACCAGCTGAATCTTAAATTCTGAATGATACAAAAGTTAGAAATGCATTTACTCTTTTGGTATATGGTTTCGCTTTTAAAAGTTGGTTACTGGTTATTGTTTTGTAGTTCTAACTATTATATTGTCACCTGTTTGAAATCCCCAAGTACTGGTTTAGTGTAGTTGGTGCCCAGATGGTGCTTGGTTTGAGTATTGCTTATTTAGAAAGTTCTGACAAGGTCTTTGGAATCTACATTCAAAACCTCTTTAATTCATGCCAGTGGTCTGAGTCTATTCTTCAGTGTTTGCACCACTGGTATAGGTTCTCAATAAACAACTATGTTCCTGTGCCTCTGTTAACGCATGAGAGTGTCTTTCTCCATAGGCCCGATCCTTGACACTAGTCAAAAACTATGTTGAGCTATTGTAAATTGCATTTTAGGAAATGAGGATATGGTTAAAATAGTTAACTGTCCCTCTCAAAGGGTAATTTGTGACCCATCCATGCAGTTTATAAATAATTTTCAGCTCTTGAGTCATACCATTTAAAGTATTTTGGAGTGCTCAAGCAAACAGAAGTGCATTATAACTTAAATTTTGAGTAATGTGTTTAGTTTGTATCCACCCAGGCCTTGCTTTGCCCACAGAGTTCACCATGCACCACATCCTCGTCTGGCAGCACATGCAGCTGTCCAGTGCCCCATGCAGCATTCACCAACAGCTCGGGCCTTTCCATCCTTTACAGAGAAAACTGAACAGTCATTTTGAAGAGAAAGAAAAAGAAGAGGAGAAAAAGAGGGATACAAGGAAACGTGGAACTGACAGAAGAAATGATCAGCTGATAAGGTGGAAGTGAATTGAAATGAAATAGTGATGAATAAAAGCCTTGACATGATAAGATGGCAAAAATGTGGATAAAAAGAGGGATGGTGCGGACTGAAAATGAAAGATGAATATGTGGAGGAGGTAGAGGGGAGAGCAGAGACAGCAGAGCAGAGGGGCAGGTCAGGTCATGCTCTGTCTGAAGAGGACAACGATGGTGATTACAGAGTCTTCCAGGACATCTCAAACAAGAAGTACATCATGAGAGGAAATGGAAGAATTACACTGCAGTAGCTGTGTTTCCATCCTAAAGCAGATACAATTAAACCTTCTTCCATAAAGGACTAGTTAAAATGACATATACTGGTTTTATCCACACAAATTGGGCTTCACTTGAACTACATAACTGAATCGTGCAATGTAATGATTGATAATGATGAGAATATATTTGTGTGGTTGAAATACAAGTTATTACAATGGACCCAAATGCACTCTAGGCCTGTCTTAATAACAAACTTTGAAGTGTAATATATAGCTTAAATAAATAAAGACGATAAATGATAATACTGAAACTAATTTATGCCTAATTTATGACACAAAAATCCAAGAGCAGATTTAAACTACAAAAGCTATTCTGTGCAATGTTGTTATAGAAACACACACTGCAATAAATAAATAGCAAAATAAAACACTTAAGTACTTAGTTTGCATCTGTAATGAGTCACAGTTTTAATTCAACCTTTTATGGCTCAAATCTTATCATATTGCCAAAAATTTCTCATTAAATCAAAGAAAAAGTACACATGTGACATGATAAATATTGAACCCCCCCAAAAATATATTGTTCCAGTTTTCATATACTGAAAGAAAAGCCGATATAGAAATTTTCGTGACAGGCCAACTGGAGTCCATAGAAAAAATAGATACCTGCTGTAATTCAGTATCAGTGAATTGAACAGTATTTTCTTACATAAATGCATTATGGATGTGTCATTATTGCACCTCTGAGTGAGTACAATGAGTACAATGACATTTTCTATATAGATGTGTAATAATACATTATTGACAACATTATTTAAATATCTATTAACTTGTCATCTTGATTTTTAAAAAGTGACTCAAGCCTTAATTGTGATATTCTGATGGTATTATCTAACTACAGTATGATTAAGAATATGGTTTTAAAATTATTGAAATGATCTAAGATGTATCTTTTAGTCGGTAAAAGGCAGATGGAAACCGCTAAAGCCAGTGATGAAATTAAAGAAGAATGTAGCCACCATGCTCCTGTGCTCCCATGCTAAGGAAGATCAGATGAGAAGAGGAGAAAAGACAGGAGCAGGTCAGGAAAGGAGGCACGAGCAGGTGAGACAGGAGTAAGTCCGCAGGGCCGGATTGACAGGTACTGGTTAGAAGGGGCAGAGAAAAAAGGACAGGGTTGAGATGCAGGGAGACAGAGGGTAGACAGGAATGGGTTAGAATTGAGAGGGGGACAGGAGCAGATGAGGAGGGAAAAATAAGACAGGAGCAGAGGTGAAGTGGGGCAAGGTGTCAAGTTCAGGTCAAGAGGAGAAAGGAGCAGATCAGAAAGTGGAGAGTAGACAAGAGTAGGTTAGCATTGGCAGAGGAAACATGAGAGGTTCAGGAGGGGAGGCAGGAAAAGGTGAGGAGGTGAGACAGGAGTAAGTGAGCAAGGCTAGTGTGCTGGTTAGGAAGAAAGGAGAGGGTAGAGATGGGCAGGAAGGGAGAGGAGATAAGAACAGGTCAGGAAGTGGAGAGTAAACAGGAGTGGGTCAAGGCGGGCAGGTGAGACAGGAGAGGTTCAGGAGGGGAAACAGGAGCAGGGGCTGGGGTGGCATGCCCTGTGTGTGCCACCGGTCTACCTTGTTCCACCAGGCCAGCGGTGGTGCCGGCCGCGGCTGCCACTGCTGCAGCCGCTGCAGTCACTGAGGATGGAGCTGTGGTCTGCCTGCTGCCCACTGCCAGAGCCCAGGCACAAAGAACAACAAGAGAAATCCATGAGGAGTGCCAGGAAGAGTGTGGAGTCAGGAGGAAGGAAGGATAGAGCCAGAAAAGCTTTCAGGATTTAATGAAAGGATCATCTCCTCTTAAAATGTACACAATGACAAAAGATATTAGAGATAAGAAGATTTTATTAGGACACAAGAGTGAAGAGTATTGCATGTGGAACACTGAAGCTGTATCCACACACATATGTTCTCATTTCATACTTGATGTACTTTAAAAAGAAAGAGAATTTTAACTGAAACAAACACATTTGGTGTGTTGCTGCTAAATGTGAGGATGCTGCCAATCATATCTAACTATTCTGTGATAATTTACAACCAAAATGAAAACAAATGAGTGTGGACTTGTGACATTTGAAGATCCTGCAAACTGTACAATAAATGTTAGTGGTTAGTGCTGATGGTGATCACGACAGACTGCGTTAGTTCATGTGTGTTTGGTGTGAGCAGCAGAAATGCACAGATGTCCAGTTGCTTTGATCCATGTGGGATAACACTCTCACAGCTGCACAGCCAGTCCTTCTATAGGCCGCCTACTGCTTACTCACTCTAATCTGTAAATAAACAGATTATTTTATATGGCTCAATGTGACTGCTGCCTAGTCTTTTAAAAAGGTTTATGTCTGATACATACATCTGACGGCCTCACACTTAAAGTGGAGAGGATGAGAAGGAGTAAATGGTCAGTGTGTGTGAGGGGCTGACTCGTGCATGTGAGGACTGTCTCTTTGCAGAGCTTGCAGTGGCAGAACAGCTGCTGTAAATCTGTTTTTCTGAAGCAGCAAGCTTGCAGCAAACACAACATGAACAGATATGTGGATGCTTTAAACAGGCTCATGCCTAAGAATTCTTATTTCACTGACAACAACAATTGGACCGATGTGATTTAAAGAAGTTTACTTATTTTGGATCCCACTATGTTTATTTTAGATCTCGTCAGCACTCATGTGGACAAGATGTAAAATGAACTCTTTTTATAACAAATAAATACACAGACAGCGAGGACAGTCACTGAGCTGACAATGCAGTTTCAGTGCTCCTCTGAGTGTGAATGTGGCCACAGTCTCTGAGTCTCTGAACATGACAGGCAAATGAACAGTCATGAAACAATCTTTTTAGACAATCCAACACTTTGATTGTGGCCTTCACAAAACAGGGAGATGAAACACTGAAGGTGCATTAAATAATGTGGTTCTTTACATGCTCCATAATAAGCTGTAACACAAAGACAGTCTGGATGTATTGGCAATTCCATGAAAGTCTGTTTAAACAATATTGCATATGAAATAGTAAATATCCTTTAGAATTACCTACAGCTCATTTTTAGGAGAAACAAAACTACAAAAACTTTACTACATACAAAAATAGGCAAACATTCTAAATCAACTAATGACTAACTAGAAATTAGAAAAATATAAAGACATGTATACATTAATAATGTCTATGGGGAAAAAAACACAAAAGTAAAGGTAATTAAAAAAAATATAAGGAGGGAGAAAAAGTACCCAAGCATCATGCTACATCAGCACACATAAAGATCTATTTATCTAGCAGAGTAATTCTTGCAAAACCTTCCTCTAAGTCTTCAGCTTGTTTCTAGCACATTTAGAGGCAAATTGTTGCCTTAAATCACCCACTAAATAGACACAATTTAAACACTGCTTTTAGACTAAGGACTGAAGACATCAAGGAACTATTCAAACACAGGGCCCCAAACTCTTAACCCACCAACACAGCTACTTTGTTGAACATTGCAAAACTACCAGAAACCACAAAATAAATAAATAAATCAACTTTTAAGATTTAAAAGTTTTATAAGCAAATCAGTAAAGTAACTTAACATTTAGCAACACATTTGTAGTCCCACATGCATGGAGCAAGTCACAGTTACTCAGCGCTTTCATAATTGCTTCAACACTTTGTAAAAATAAACCGATGAACAAAAAGTTGTGCTCCATTCTAATATTATAACAGTCACATGAATAATAGTGACAGGTTCACACAAGAGGGAACAAGTCATTCAATCCACACTTACCAGAGAAATTTCGAGACACCAGCATGGTTGTGAGAATGGCTCCCTGAAAGACAAAAAGGATTCAGTTGTGTAAAACTATTATATAAATATATATAAAATATTATATAAGAACATTTCATTGTAAGATACTGCTTATATCTAAAGAATATGTAAGACACTTCTATGGGGTATTAACTGCTAACACATACGATATTTACATAATTACTTTTATCATTTTGTGCTAAATACACCTGAAACAAAATATTCAAATGTTTAATATGTTTCAGTTTTGTTTATTTGACGGTTTGAGAACCCCTGCCCTTACTCCCCATGCTAAGTCAGTCCTCCTTCAGAGTGCTATGACATTGCAGTTGTAGAGTATTGTCTAGTATCATGCTTTTGAATATTTATAGAAAGATTCAGTGTGGGAGCATGGGTGAGGTAGGCTTGTGGGCCGAGCCTTGGACAGAATCGTACTACTAACCGCAAAGAAGGTCTGAACAGTGCCTGGGAGAGAAATTACTCAAATTATCATCTTAAATTTTGGACCAATTCAAAGCCTTGTGACTGACCCATTTTTGATTATTCACAGACAAGCGTTGGATGCTTGTGCTTTGTTTAAGGCCACCTGCGCCTCTGCTCCCAGCTCCTCATGTGCTGTGATCTGAGCCAGGGCTGAGAGCAGACTGGCAACAGACGAGCTCCAGCGTCCAGAGAGCAGAGGCAGCATGACTTTATAGTAGCAACAACACTGTATATATTACGATCTAGTTTTATACTTTTTATCCACTGACTATGAAAGTATTCAGGAAAGTTCCAAATTTGACTTATATATATATATATATATATATATATATATATATATATATATATATTTTTTTTTTTTTTTTTTTTTTTTTTTTTTTTTAATAGACCATTGCATTTTGAAAATATAAAAAAAATAATGATTTGGACATTTTTAGATTTACTTGTAGTGGAAACAATAAACAAAACGTAGACACTTTTATTCTCAAGTAGAAATCAAAGTAGTGACACAACTACCAAAAATACTAATATAGTACTTAAGGTTTCAGAAACGTGTGACTGACCACAACCTACATCTGAGAACACTGAAACGCCAAGTGCATAAAAACACCAAAGATCAATGTGAGATTTCCCTTAAGAATAAAATGTTGTGCGAGGAACAGACCTTGAGTTTCCTCCTGGCGTTGAATTTCTTCAGACACTCCACAGTCTCCTGTCTGTGCATCATCGAGGCCACTGTGGACCGTTGCTGTAGATACAAAGCACAAATGAATGGATAAAATGTTAAAGAGATGTATTTTGTTTAATTTTTGGATAAGGTTACTAATGATTTAGATGATTTTGAGTAAATATTGTTGAACTTATGCATGAAAATCTAGGTGCACTTACGCAGACCCATGGGTGCTTGAGGGCCTCCTGAGCAGTGATCCTTTTGGCTGGATTAATGGTCAGCATCTGGTTGATCAGGTTTTTTGCCTCAGGAGTCACTGTGTCCCACTCTGGAGAAGGAAACTGCACAAAAATAAGAAGATTTTATTACTGTTTGTAAGCACTGGTTTATAAATTGGATTATGTTTTATTCAGTTAGGAAGAGTTCAGACTGTGGTTCTGGTCTGTGACAGTTTCGTTCTGATGTAGACTGGGTTTATCATTGTCTAGTCCTGGTTTAGTCCTGGTCTAGTCCAGATTTAGTTCCAGTGTCGATGTGGTATGTGCAAGTGTGAACGCACTCTCAATTAGTCAAAGCAAAAACGTCAATAAACACATTGAGAAGATTTAAAATATATTGAAAATAAGAGCGAACTAAAACCACAACAACTGAAATAATTATTTATTTAAGTACTTTTACAGCCACCTGTAGAGTAAGAATAAATTAACATCATATATTACTGTTATAAAAGCCATTACAGACTTGACATGTGACTTTGCTTTCAAATATTTTTTGACTTTTATAATTGATTGGAGAAATAATTAAAGACACAATGGAAATTCAACACATTTCAAAGACCAATAACAAAACGATTCATGGGTTTCAGGCATAAGGAATTCTTCCATGTAGTTCTGAATGGGGAAAGGTTCTCACAAAATCCTTCAAATCAGGAAGAAATCATTTGCCTGAAGTCTATGAATAACTCCCCAGTCATAACCATCAATTATGTATAATCCCTGTTGTGATATGACTTAATGTTATTAAATGAGTTGCTGAATTTATATTGTCTCACATCTTTTGGGGTGTAAGTTCTGAGCCTGCAAATCCCTATATATATAATGTTGTCCTTAAATCCTCTGATAAGCCCCCACTGTGACCCCTAGGAAGGAACAGGAACGCGTAGTAAAAAGTGGTGAATTTTCTATGAATCAGTGCTACAGAATCACGGTCCTGCTCCATCTCTGCATTGGGTTCTGCAGTTAAATATGAGCGAAGGTACGCCTCACTCTCTTGTACCCCCTGAAATATGAATGAGGTGACAGTTGCGTAACCACAAGTAAAAGGAATGAGGCCAGTGAAGAGGCTTGGGACCTTCTACTAAAGAGGGAGGAGCGGGGGAGAGAGAGATAAAAAAGAGATCGAGTGAGGAAGGGGGAAGACAGAGAGCGAAGGGAATAGCGAGGGAAAGAGAGGGAAAGAAGAGGGCAGGAGGGAGGGCTGTTGTAGAGAGAGAGAAAAAGACAGTGAGGGGACAAGAAGGAGAGAGGGAGGATGGAGAGTGAATGAGAGAGAAATAGGGAGTGAAAGAGAGACAGATAAGAAATTAAGGGGAGAGAAAAGGAGAGTGAGGGTTGAAGAAAGAGAAAGAAAGTGATAGGGAGAGAAAGAGAAACAGACAGAGGAGGGTAAGAGAGGGAGGAAAGAGGGAGAGAGAGCAAGAGAAGGTGAAATAAAAGAGGGCAGAGTGTTAGAGAAAGAGTAATAGGGAGAGAAAGAGAAACAGAGAAAGAGATTAGGAGAGAGGGATGAGGGGTAGAGGGAGGGGGAGAATGAGTCAAATAGAGAAAGACAGAGAGAGAGAGAGCACTCACGTCGTACGCCCCAGCCTTGATCTGTTGGTACAGCTTGTGCTGGTCCTCGTCCCAGAAAGGAGGGTACCCCACCAGCAGGATGTAGAGGATCACCCCTGACACACAAACACACGCACAACACACAAATATAAACACACTTACCAACCTACTGTTTGTGTTGTCACGATGCAAAAATTTTGATTTCAATACTAAGGAAAAGGCTAGTTTGATGCCAATTCCAATACTGCAATGATGAAAAAAAAAACACTTAACACACTTAGCACACAATAATAGTGTCTTCTTAAAGTTATCATGTGTTTCTGTACTGACACTGATAAATTTAACTCTAAAACTGTTCAAAGAAAGGTCAGATTTGTTATGTTTATGGGATATGGGATCTTTTCAGTAGTGATAATTGTTAAATGGAGTATCTATTATCTGATTTTCGACACTTTTGGCAACCCTATGTGTTTTATGTGTATATGTGTGCGTGCATATGTGTGTATTTTTGTGTGTGCATGCTCCCTGTTAAGACTCACCACAGGCCCAGATGTCCACAGGTTTACCATATGCCTCCTTTCTCAACACTTCAGGGGAGAGGTACCCCGGTGTGCCAGCAAACCCTGTGTAGAGATGGCACAGTGGAAGAAATAGATAAGGTCACTTGGATTCCTATTAAGTGCATAATAAAAGATTTATTGGTCTCACAGTGACGATAGATGATATTCTACACTTAATACCACGACAGTTAAAGGGCCTAGATTACACTATTTTCTGATCTATGTTATAATGTTGTTTCCTCATCAAAAACATATCTGGAGTTTGTTTTATGTCACACATGTTTAACACACAAACCCTGCATATTTAGTTCTTCTCTCAAAAAGAAAACACATCGGTTTGCAAGACAGAAGTGCTCCACTGTGTTTTTAAACTCTATACACCTTCACTTGAATCATCTGGATAATTTCAGGCCTGGAATTGCTAATCTCTACTGAACTAATGATAAAAGGTAGCTATTAACTGGTGGAAAACTACCACTTTATGATATTACTATGATATTGCATTTTGAGCTTTGGAGATGTACAGGCTAATAATAAAGGATTACTCAAACATGTGTGAATGAAACAAAACACAACTCCAGGTATATTTTTGAGGAGGTAACAGCATTATAACATGGCTTAAAACTCACAAGAGTCAATTTGCTAAATATAGGACCTTTCAGTGTGCCTGTTAACCAACTATTGCTACCTTTATGCCAAATGCATCAAACCTACTGTATCTTATATTCACTGATTAAGATCTTTTAAGTAACCATGGGTCAGAGAAAACTCAAACCAAAATGTGATATACTTCTGAATGGGCACCCCCAAAATGTAGTTTATAACAAGAATCTGAAACATACAGTATGAATCTGTTCTTAGTGCAGCCTTTAAAACAAGAAAAAAAATTGCTTTTCAAAAGTTTGGAGTTTTGCCCTCACATGAATGGTAACAATAATTAGCATGCCAGCAGAGCACTTCCTGGTTTGCAGAGGATAAAACACTTTATATTTAGATGCAGACAGCACACAGCAATCTCATTTTGATATATGAATATATCTGTACTGAGGCAAAACAAATTTTACTTTGTTACATATTGTATAAAGAACTTGGTTACAGCCCCTTTAATATATTGTATACTATATGTAGGTATTAGCAACATTACATTAAAAAGCAAAACCTAAAAAAAAAAGGTGTATTATTCTACTCACCAAACCAAGCCTGTTGGTCTCCCTGAACCTCGATGGCCAGGCCAAAGTCTGCCAGTTTTACCGCTGCGTTCTTGCATTTACTTGCCAGGAGCAGATTCTCAGGCTGGACAGAGATTGAGATGGAAAATAACATTATTGACATTTATAATACATTGTTAGTTGAAGAATGATTTCCTGAAGTATTGGGCAAAAGCTTCAGGCAGACCATGCAAAAATGTACAAACACAGATGCCACAAAAGCTGCTCTGGATTATGGGCGTGTTGACAAATCAAAATCATGACTGTATTGTGATATAGTGTTGATATTGTTCCAGATGTAATCTATCAATGTTTTATGTTTCTATATGTTTTAGTACATTTCTTTGCTGAAAAAAAACAAAACTGAATCCAAACAGGACATTTTGTAATGAATGAAAAAAAAAAAAGTCAATGTTTTGATTATTGTGGGCTGCTGTGTTTCTATATCAAGTATATTTTGGTATATTTTACTAAACAATTTTATGACAACAATACAGTTTTGTTCCTTGTTTAGAGAGAACATGTGAACTGCTAATGTAATAATACAAGAGAGATACAAGTAGAGTCTTATCAGTTTCTTTTGCATACTGTAATTAGACAGAATAATGTGTTTTTTACAAAGTCCTTGTGATTTACTTTTTGAGACTATTCAAATTGCGATTTCAATATTCAATATATCTTGAAGTCCTAAGGCCCAGTGCTATTCTGGATGTCTCATATTGAAAGAGTGCTTCGGCAGGTTAAATTCAGTTCTTTTTGTCATGCTCCCCTGTGGAGTACTGCTGTGGTCTATAGGCCCTATCTCAGTGGCCCAGATAATGCAGCCAGCCTCATTATTCTCTGTCAGTAGAGATCTCTAATAATGGGACTCTATTCCCGGTGGTGTGCGCTCTTTCACTTTCCCCCATTATAATTCAGTAAAGCCAGTTTAATCAATGACGGTGGAGGGAGGTGGCAATTATGAGTGACAAATAATGCACTGGTGCAATAATAAGTAACAAAAAAGTGAATGACATTATGGAAGTTTCCTGGGGAGATTATCTTAAGCGAGCAGAGACAGTTAGCGTTCCCAGATTATATTTAGGCTTATGCCACTTGCCTCCCCTGCACTGCAGCACCGCGTCTTTGCAAACCATCCTCACACTTCAGCTCGCATACCAATTTGTTTTGCCGTTAATTTTAACATTTAAAGAGAGCTGCATAAACATCTTTGGAAAAACATGTTTTTGTGTTTTTTGACAGATAAAACTGATTTTTTTTGGACTGATTTGATTATTTTTATTTTGAGCAAATGCAAATCACAAAAAATGTCTACATACCATTTAACAAATATTATTACTTAAAGGTGCACTGTGTAACTTTTTGGTTAAGGTTCTGTAACCTGCTTGTTTTCATGGATATGTCATTGCTCTGCTTGGAATGTTTCACAGTATGACATTAATTAAGTCTATCTTAAATTTATTCAATTACTGGTGGTTTTATAGCTTAAAAATATAAGAGAAGAGAAACAGGCATTCTGACTGTAAGCGGGATTGCCTTGCCATAGATCTGACCTGTAACTTGCCCTGGTTTGTTCTTCCATACAGTGCAATAACATTTCCATGGACTCTCCACCAGAAAAGTTACACAGTGGACCTTTAGCAAATATTATTAATTAAAAAAGAAAATACACGGCTCACTCGAAAGGGAGTGAGAAGAAGTAAAAATACTTATTTTTAATTTTGCATCCTTAAAAATACACTTTGAGGTGTAACTCTTCTGATGGGGAGTCCGCCACCTGCTTGTCTCCATGGACAAATTTTTGCTTTAATTAAAATGTTCCTCAATATAGCATTAAACATATCTATTTATCTATCATTTATTGTACATGTGTTTAATGCTCAAGAATACATTGAAAATCATGCACTCTAACTGTGAACTGGCTCACCTCTCCACAACTCTGACCTGTAACTTGGCCTGATGGTACCACATGCTTTTCTCAGTGAATATGGATAGCTTTTAATGTTGACCTTTTTCTATATATGATTCACTGTTTTATCTTTCCTGTACTATTTGTTTATTGCTCTTTTGACTGTTTTGATATTTGTTGTGTTAAGTGTATTTGAGTCCTTTAAACAAAATGAATTATGTATTTTATTATATGAATAAGCTTAATGTAATATTGTGGAACATTCTAGACAAAATGCTAACATCTCCATGGAAACAAAAAGGTGCTAGACCCTCCAACAGAAAAGTTACACAGTGCACCTTTAAAAATCCTGAACAGCTTTCTCCTGTCACTACATTATCTTCAACTTGAAGCCAGAAGTTGCCCACACTGCAGCAGGAGGATCATGTCTGAAGTTGGTGTGGGTGGGTTTACTGAGCAAGCACAAATAAATGTCACCAAGGCACAAAAACGCAACGTAAAACAAACAGAAAAACATCCACGAACAGGCAGCATCCCCTTCTCTTCAGACCAAGCCATAGACACTTGCAGCACACAGCAGCACACATCAACAGTCAAGGTAAAGTACAGTACGTCCTCGTAAAGGTGCATTCAAGAGCCTGAGTGGGTGTTTGAATGGAAAAGACTATTCCATGTTTCTTTGGAATGTACAGTATCTGTAAAAAAGTAATGAAGTATTGTATAGTGGGCTTTTAAAATGTACAAATCTAAAATATGAATTTATATATAAGATTAAGTTTTGGCCAATCAAATGCTCCCAAATATGTTGTTATACTGTAGATGAATTCACCAACATGTCACTATGGAGATACTAATGTTCCATAGTATGGCATTAAATGTATCTATCTTGCATTTATTACATTACAGTTGTTTTATTGCTCAAAACAACCTCTTACTTTGAGCGGGTTTGCGTCTACACAGATGTGACCTGTAACTTGGCACAGTAGCGTCACCTTCTTATCTCCGTGGTGATTGACAAATCTAATCCCATACTGTGGAATATTCCAGTCAAATCAATATAATCTCATAACATGCATACCTCCTCACAAACATACCTGGAGTTGTGTTTTGTTTCATTCACACATGTTTAACACACAAATCCTGCATATATATATACTATATATTATATATTATATATTTATATATTATATATATATATATATATATATATATATATATATATATATATTTATTTTTTTTTTTTTTTTTTATATCACTAGAAGCATTATGATTATTTCTGATCTACTAAACAAAAGCTAAAAGGTAACTGTTGAAAACTACCGCTCCATGACATCATAAGGTGGAACAAAGCATTTTGATCTTTGTAGAGGTAGACAGACTAAAAAACAGGTTTATTCAGACATGGGTGAATGAAACTAAACCCAACTCCATGTATATTTTTGAGGAGGTAGCAACATTATTACATCCCCTAAAGCTCACAAGAAGAATATAGGACTTTTAAAAGAAAGTTCTGAAGTAAAATCCATAAGTATATTTTTGTTGCTAGCCCACAATGTATTTTAATGCTGACCTACATAAATCTATTTTGATTACTGTGTTGACTTTACATTTGCCATAACCCAATTCCTAATTTGAGTGATCTTGTCACCCAGGCTGTCCTCAGTCATCACACTATGACCTATTGCATGAAACGCTCCCCAACGCTCGGGTGTGAAACCAGATCGGCGTCTCGGCTAAATAAAGAAATAGCCACAACAGTCCTGATCAACACAACACCCTCTGCTGGAATGCCGGGATTGACATTTGCGTCGACCAGTTCAAACTGACAAACGGACGTGACATACAGAGCACTATAAGACACCTGATCTCTCCATCATGTTGCTATGAGAGAATGGGAGGTATCAAAAAAAATATAATAAACTATTTGTTGCTCTGGAGATATGGAAAATTAGAATATCAAGTACATCATCTCTAATTAAAGTGATAGTATGTAACTTTCCAGAGGTGGAACTCAACTGCATGATTCCTTGGAAGCAAAATTAAAACCACTTAGGAACATTTTCCATACAGATACATATCTTTTAGTATAATACTCATATAATACAAGAGATTATATGAGTATTATAGCCAAAAGGTACAACATTTCCACGGAATCAAGCAGGATGGGGCCAAATAAGAGTCTGTTTTGTGGAGATGAAAGCTAAATTTTCTGTGCAATAAAAGCATCTATAATGTTCCATACGGCTTTAAAACTAAAGCACTGATTAAATTAAATTAACAGAAATGACTAGTGTAATGTACTAAAAAAAGAGTATAATATGATATTTCTGCATTTTTTATTACAATTCAAGTCCATTCACATTTTGTGCCATCAATTAAAACCTTTCTTGATGCATTATTAAATATCTATTGTTATTGATATAATGAAAAATACAATACAATATAAAATAATTTTGTCAGTATTGCCCAAACCTAGTTACAGTCATAAACCATAAAGAACTGACCTCTCACTCACTGCACGTCACCTATAGCATCCAGCTCCAGTCAAATGAAGCGTATCGAGGCTGGCAGTTATAGGGGCAAATTTGGAGCCAAGTTCTATGTTTGGAATTCCAACAGCAAGTATCATAGCAATCAAAGAGCCAATTCGGAGCGAGGCTGTTGAGGATAATGCCTCTTCGCGCCTGCACCGTTGGTTTGGCAAGGAGCAGCACCAGGCAACACTGTCTATCAAAAATGTAGCTAACGCTAATGGTGATTCATCTGTTATTAATGTTCGTATCTTGACATAGTGAAATAAAAACACCAGGATCATGTAGAGTGGGTTAATCCGAACATTTTAAGAGGAGACAGACAGCAACAGTTAGAGAAGAGTGACATTTTTCAATAAGAAAGTGAATTGAAGCCAGGGTCAATGGAGCTAGAAGTGTCCCATGCTCACTTCCTATTTGGAACGCAGTGGCTAACGGGTTTGCCATGTCCATTTATACATACAGTCTATGGTTACAACAGACCTCCACAAGGAGTAAATCTGATCTTGATAGGCCATCTGCTAATCCCTGTTTAATTATATCTAAAATAAACACTCTTTGTGCACAACCACGATTGATTAAAAACTAAAATTAGCCATCACTTTGAAGCATTGTGGCTGTTCCCTGATCTATAGAGGCAATCCAGCTCACATTGTGTTTGATAATCGATACTAAACCAGTACCTCCGAGCAGTAAATAAAGCACTGTCACATTAAGAGTCCTTGGGGGCCGCGCAGGATAGATTATCGACTCAGGCTTAGAAAAAGACTGGTCCTAAATGTTACAGAGCAAGAGCGGGTCTGTCAGCCTGACCAGAGAGGGGTAGAGGAGAGGGAGAGAGGAGAGGAGAGAGGAGAGGATGGGAGAGAAAGGAGAGAGAGGGAGAGAGGAGAGGACGGGAGAGTGGCAGAGCAAGAGAGAGGAGAGAAGGGGAGATGGAGCGAGAGAAGAAAAGGAGAGAGAGAGAAAAGAGAGAGGAGAAAAGGGGAGAGGGAGACAGAGGAGGAATAGAGGAGAGGGGAGGAGAGAGAAGAGAGAGGAGAGTGGGGGGAGAAGAAAGGGGGAAAGGGAGAGAGAAGAGAGACAAAAGAAGAGGGGGAGAGAGGAGAGAAGGGGAGAGAGGGAGACAGATGGAGAAAGGAAGGGAGCGGGGGAGAGAGGAGGGAGGGAGAGAGGAGAGAGACAGGGGAGGGGGAGAGGGGGAGAGAAGAGAGGGTAGAGGGGGAGAGAGAAGAAAAGGGGAGAAAGGGAGAGAGGGAGATAACATTGTATGCTGCAATGAAATATCTAAAACAGCACAGTCCAGACTCATATTGTAACATATTTGAAGAAGAGGGCCACAGACCAGTGTCGACAGTGAGTCATTCACACTGGTGCAGTTTACACAGCTTCGACAGAGCCCCTTTAGGGACCTTTAATAAGACTTGGAACAGCAGTCTTACGCCTGTATCACAGTGCAGTGTGATGTTATTAAGTAAATAGTAGTAGAATTACTTAAAGTTGTAGTGAAAAGTTGCCATATTCAGATTGGAGAATTCAACAGGAGGCTTGAGGGTCCCCGGGCCATAGTTTGGACACCCCTGACTTCTGTTTGTTATTACTCATTCACTTTTTGCATTACAACAAAAAAATGCATTTTAACAATATTCCTTATATCTGTATTAAATATTATTGACCTATAGAATGATTTGAAACTAATCAACTGCATTATTGATTCTTTGCAGCTGATTTCATCAACATTCATTGGCGGTGTGATGCTAACTGAAGGCTCTGTTCTGTATGAAGCTCTGTTACTTAAACTTCAATCTAAAGAATTAACACGCTCAAACATAAAATTACGGTCACAAGCTAGCATTAGACAAGTTGTTCAGTTAGTCTCTCCCATCTTTTTAGTGAAAATCAAACACTTAAAAAGAATCATGAACTCTCATATTGATCACATTCTCCTGAAAATGTTCTGTTTAAATCAATTTTGTATTTCTCTTGAGTTTCAGACCACCTTAAAACTTTTTGATGGTGCCTTGTGAATGTGTGCATTGTTTCCCCATGGTAACTGATAAACTTTCAGCCTTAGACATACACATAGGACACCCCTAGAATAATGTCACTGCAAAGTATCAATCGGCCTGAATAATGTTGTGATCTGTACTATGAGAAGGAGTGCGACATACAGACACAAACAGTACAACACACACACACACACAGACATCACACACCGTTACACTGACCCTTGCACTCACCTTTAGGTCCCGGTGCACCACGCCCATTTGATGGCAGTGAAGCACCGCCTCCAAAATCTGCTGGATGCAATGACTGCATGCAAACATTAGGGGGCGCATGTTAGTATGAGCAGCGCTGCAACTCTCGTGCACAGGCCAGATACAAGGGTGAGAAGGGACTGGGGGCAGGATATGGGCAATGACATTGGTTTAATAGACTCTTCTGTTTTGTTCAGGCAAAGCTTAGTCCAAAACATGTCCAATGGCAAAATGTAGAGTTAAAAAACAAACTCAGCTCTCTTATGGTATTGTAATCACGCCATTATATTATAAATAACTGTTTGTGGACCAAGGAGAAATACATACAAGATTTATTTTAATTGAATCTAATCTTTAATTCTTAAACTCCTACTAAAGGTGCATTATGTAATTTTTCTGGTGCAGAGTCCGTTAAATGCTTTTCTCCATGGAGATGCTATTACTTTGTCTGGAATGTTTCACAGTATGGGTTTAAACCTTTCTATGTTTATTGAGACCAAACCAAATTACAGGTCAGACCTGTAGAGAAGTGACCCCGCGCATAGTCACAATGCCTGTTTTTCTGGGTATTTTTGAGCAGTAAACCCATCTGTAATTGAATAAATGTAAGGTAGAGCTGTTTAATGTCATACTGTGGAACATTCCAGGCAGAGCAATGAAGTATCCATAGAAACAAGAAGGTGAAATTACACAGTACATCTTTAAAGTAAATTGTCTATTGGATTCTATTTCCATTGAGTTAAGTTCTGTATGTCAACAAAATATTAATATAGGAAATATTGACATGCAGCTATTGCATGTCTAATATAATACAGGCCTATAATACTCAAATTATCTAATTATATTAGCACAAAGACCAGGTTAGATACCATCTGAAGAGGATGGAGAAGGTGCAATGGAACAGACAACTGATATATTAAGTGGGTATGAAATTTAATAACACATTCAAATGTACACGAATTGGCAGCTCTTGGGCTGCTCCAGACTTCCTGTGCACTGACTGTAATCATATTTAATAAATCGTAATTACTGGTCTCCTATAGAAGGACAGATAAGGTAGAATAACAACTAAATGCTCAGATTCAGCAACAGGGGTATACGTTTTTAAATGGAATTACAATTTCTATACACTAAATATAAATGAATACACAAAGTACCTGTACTGGTTTGCAAATGTTTATGCTAAAACAGCTGTAATATAATAAATAGTACTTTGTTATAGGTGAAAACAATAATGATCTAGAAGAGAACAAAATGGACAAGTAATTTTTTTCCTAATAATCTAATATTATGTTTGTCAGCAATTATACAAAAAAGCACCACAATACTGTCTTCGTATTTATTGCAATTAGTAATAAAATTGTTAACTGTGCCATCTCTACTAATAAATCTAAATCTTTTCTATTAGTACCTTGCTATGTCACTGTCACGGGAGAAAGCCACAAGCATTAAAGAGCCCATATTACGCTAATTTGTTATCTGTGTTATAGTGTTGTTTCCTCATCAAAAACATACCTGGAGTTCTGTTTTGTTTCGTTCACACATTTTTAACACACAGGCCCTGCATATTTAGGCAGAATTCTTCTCTCACAATGAAAACGCTCTGGTTCACATCAGTACAGGAAGTGCTCCACTGTGTTTTAAATGCCATACATCTTTATAAGATCCCTTTTTCAGCCCTGGAGTTGCCAATTTCTACTAAACAAAAAGTCAAAGGTAGTTGTTGACCTAAAAACTAGCACTTCATGACATCACAAGGTGGAACAGAGCATTCTGAGCTTTGGAGATGCTGTGACCTGTAAATGAAACAAAACACAACTCCAGGTATGTTTTTGATGAGGTAACAACAGGTTAAAGCTCACAGGAGTCAATTTTGCATAATATAGGGCCTTTAAAGCCAAACTATGTTACTAATAAAACATACATCATGTGAGATTTGGACTATAGAACAATTTACTTTCAACTGGCAGCAATTAGAGCTGAGAAAAACAGCTAGACTTGTGTGTGGGCTTTGTGCTATGTTTTAATTAGACAGTACCCAAAATGCATGCATTAATCTGCACGATAAAACCCACAAAAACAATTATTGTGAGTTTTATAATGCCTTTCTTTGTTATCATTACACCGGTACATGTTTGTGTGCTTTGACATAGACTTGAGTGCTGCAAGGTGCTTCACTGCTGGGAGAGTAGGAGGAAGGTAGAATGAGATTTAGCGGGAACTGTATTGATTTTTGTTTTTAGAGCCCCTTTGGGAAAACTAACTGCTGTGTGGCAATGGTAAACTATGGCATTTATTACAGCACTACAGGTCTGTTCATTGATCCGTCAGTGCAACAGGAGATTTGTGTGTGACTGCATGGGAGAGGGGGAAAAAGGAGGAAAGGAGGGGGTAGAATTTGAGAAATAGCCTATCGAGTTTTAAAAGCAAAACATACATGAACGAGCATACAAGGTGCACAAGCAAACAGGCAGTTGTCAAGACGATACAGACAGAAGGGGGGGGTAAGAGGGGTAAGAGCAGGCAGGAGAAGGGCGAAAGGGGGAGGGGGTGTGTGATGCAGATGCCCTACACATGTACTAACCTTTAGGTCTCTGTGCACTATGTCATGTTGGTGAATGTGATGAACACTGTCTAGAATCTGATGGATACAGTGACTGTGAAGACAAAACAGAGAGGGGGGAGAGAGGGTTGGGGGAGTGGGGTAATGGAAGGGGGTGGAGGGGCAAAAGTGGTGAACGGGTGACGATGGAGGAGAGACAGGGATGTGATGAGTTTAGAGAGAAGAAGTGCGTGTGAAGAGGAGAGGTGGAGGAGTGGAGACAAAGGGTACAGTTTGTTTTGCTTTTTAAAAACAAAATGTGTAGCAGAACAACGTGCAAGACAATACCAGAGGAGGGAAGGGAGAGAAAGGGGGGAAGACAAAAGAGATGGGAGACAGATGACAAGAAAGGGGAGGATGCAATAGAGAGGATGGAAATTTGAGAAAGAGAAAAACAGGAAGAAGATACTAGAAAGTACTGTTGTCATGACAAAAATGGATACCTTACTAATTGATTGAAACTGGAAACTAGATATTAAACAAATATAAATTCTGAAAAATATATAAAAATATTTATGAAAGGTTTTAGAGTTATATTCTTAATCTATGTCAGAGGCAGTATAAGGTCACATGGTAATATTTAGGGCTGTAACAATAATCGAAATATTGTGATATTGTATCGTCACAGTTCTCACAATAATATCATAGACCAGGGGTGTCAAACTCATTTTGGTCCGGGGGCCGAATCCAACCGACTTTGATCCCAAAGGGGCCGGATCAGAAAACTCATGTCATATAACCCCCAAAAACAGCAATAAGTTCAAATAATTGTGCAGAGAAACGCAAATCTATTACAGAAATCTTTTTTAATTGATGAACTCTTTCTTTTACAAAATATTATAAGATTATGTACAAACCTGAAACTTTAAGATAAATGCAATTTCAACACAATGTTTTAACATGAACTTGTATGTAAACAGGAATAAGTCCATTTTTGTTGTAAAATCCTGCACTCGGCTCCACTTTTCTCATGTTGGACATTTTTCTGATGAGGGTGTCACGGTCAACAGTCAAAACGACTGTCCTTTAAGAGCATTTGGAAAGAGACAGGTCTTCATTTGTGCTGCTCTGGTGGGAGGGGCCACGTACAGAGACGCTGGAGATGCTGATATGCTCTGCACCGCAGAAAATTACCAATATTTTAATAGAAAATATACTTAAAATATTTTAGTAGAAAATCAGCCGAGGGGTACATTAAAGGTCTTGGAGGGCCGGATGCGGCCCCCGGGCCTTATGTTTGACACCTGTGTCATAGACCATCACAATATATCGAATTACAAGTCTCTGTTTAAATTAAGAGTTATGGTGCAACAATAGCTAAAAAAACAGAGGGAACTACACAGACCATGATCCTTTGCTCCATTTCAGTGTATACTATAATAGATAATATAGGTAGTTCTTAGTTCTTTGGATTAAGTCTTGTCAAGGCATTTTAAGACGTAAAGTTTTGTTAGCCTCCACAAAATATCGCAATAAATATTGTACCGTGAGGTTCATACTGTGAGGATATTGTTACACCCCTAGTAATATTAAATCAACTATAGTAATATTTTTGTGCTTAAAATTAGATTCTACTGGCTGATCAAGCCTGCGGTGCTTAGTGCTCCTGACAGGTCGCCCCAGCAACATTGAAGGACTGGTCAATGCTGTGGACAAATTTCCCTATGGGGACAATAAAGTACACTATGAAAAGATTGTAATACTGAAATTGGTATCAAGCTTTGTCCTTATAAAGAAGGAGAGAAACGGTTTGATAGGAAGACAAGAGAGAAGATAGAGTTGGAAGAAAACAAGAAATGGAAAGAGGAAAGATGTGATGATGACACAAGGGAAGGAGAGGAGAGGAAGAGAGAGGAAAAGAGCGAGAGAGAGTTCCTAAAAAACACACAGACAAAAAAAATAGGAAGTCTTGCAGAGATAATAATAGATGAAGGTAAAATGGAGGAGTTATGTTTAGGATGAGTCATGGGCGGGGGCTGAGGGAGATGTCAAACGTTTTAAATCACTTTGTCCTAACCTGCTTTTGATGAATGTGCTGAGTCTAAGAGTTCAGTTCACTTTCGGTACGCTTTTTAGCAATACATTAAGCATGCATTATGTAACTTTTCTCGCGGAGGGGGGCCTGAAATTCTCCTGTACGAATTTTATTGCTCAAAAACACTTTGAAAACCTCATGAAATCACCAGCTTGTCTCCAGAGCAATAGAAAGTTAAAACTGACATGGAGACGAATACGTATTATGACATCAGATCTTGATGGAGACAAGCAAGTTACACAGTGCACCTTTAAGATAAAAAACAAAAAACGTTTCCTCATTTATATATTGCTTGTAAAATGCTTGGATGGCTGCCTATTATTATAGACAAAAGCAAAAGGGTCTGTTAAAGATCCTCTATTATGCAAGATTTATTCGTGTGAACTTCATGTCATGTTATAATGTTGTTACTGCCAAA